CGGCTGCCACAGGGAGAGGAGCATCGCTCCAGGGGAGGCTCTTTAGGCTGGGAAGAGGCAAGGAGGAAGATTTCTGACGACTCTCCCTGCAGTCTCTTCTCAGCCTCATGGTGCCTTTTTATGTGGGACAAGACCTAGGGTCTCAACAAACCACAGCAGTCCTGAAGAGACCATCAGGGGCTCCAGAGCAGCATGCAGAAGCGCACAGTTTCCCCAGCCTAACCACAAGCCAACTTGCTATAAAACCCAGCTCTGCACTGGCTACCTTTGACTACTCTCTCATAGCAAAACCTCCTGCCTGCCCTTACTCAAAAAAAAAAAACCAACCCAAAAACAAACCCACATAAAGCATCCAAAGGAGGAGGAGGACCAAATAGCATGCCACAGGAACTCAGCTCGGCAAGGGCACATGAGCCTCACCACGCTGCCCTGACGTCAGGCTCAGCCACAGGGGCTCTCCCAAACGGCTCACCTGGCCACCACCTTGACCACAGCCAACGCAGGGGTGCGCGCACCTCCTCCCAGAGGCAGATGGGAGATCACACCTTGCCTAGGAGCGGTGGCCGGACAAACCGTGACAAGTTCTCTGGGAAGCCAAGGAAGATCCCAAGGAAGCAGGCACAGTGAGCAAGTGGGGATATCAGCAAAGACAAAACGAGACAGCTAGCCACACTATCAGAGTGGATCTAGCAAATGCCTTAAGGCTAGAGCCCTGCAGAGAGACGCGTGTCCTAGGTAGCTGCTAGTCTTAGTGGCTGCAAGGGCAGATTAAGCTCAGACCCCCCTGCACGCTGTGGATCAACATGTGCCCAAATTCTTAGGACACCCATGGTCAGACACCGGCTCCCACGTGCTCTTGGGGAACAAGTGACAAGTGTTGCTGGTCCAACAAGTGACAGCCGCAAGTGTCAGCCAAGCCAAAACCAAAACCACCTCAACTCTAACCTCTCATTTCTGTTTTTTTAACACCCCTGTCTACCCCCAGATCACCCACACAGGTTGCTGCTAGGACAGTTACCACAGCTCGCTATGAGCATGCTGCTTCAGCGCCAAACACGGTAAGGTGTGCCCTGCAGCAGCTAACCCGTGCATTCAGCCATCCCAGACTACAACCTGTTACTACTGCATGGAGGTCCCCATAGCACTAAGGCCAACACGCCAGAATACAGGTCACCGATGTTGCCAAACTTCAGACAGCCCCTTTTCAGTCTCCTCAAGTTTCCGTGGTGGTTTTGGCCTGCCTGTGGTGAAGTTCTTTTCCACGTAAGATCCTCTAAAGGACTGAACATAAAATTTTGCCTGCTTTTTTGACTGCTGAGCATCCCACAGCCTGGCTCCGAAAAGGCCACGTGCCAGCTGTCTAGAGGTTAACAGGATTCCCCCCTCCAGGCTTCGCATTCCTGTTGACATGGCAGTCCCTGGGCTGTTTTAGACAGGCATTGCCAGATACGATTTACCAAACGCAGGCAGCACATGCAATGCTGTTCAAATGTCAGGACTCGCAGCTCTCCTCCTCCAGAGGAGCTCTCAACCCAGAGCTATGCTGGACAGGAGACATCAAAACATTGCTACAGCACGCAGGACACCAAACCCATTTCCAAACCCAACGTCCCAACGTCCTTAACGAGCAAACAAGAGTTTTGGGGTGAAGGAGGAGATCCAACGGTCCTTTGGCCCTGCCAACCCAGCTCCTCTCCCCCTCGCCTCCAGCCACTGCAAGCACCTACGCCATCAACGGGACACTCACCTTGAGGATCTTCACGACGACCCTCTCGTTGTTGGTGATGTTGATGGCCTCGAAGACCTCGCTGTACTTCCCTCGCCCGAGCTTTCGAACCAGCTGGTAGTCGTCCTGATTGCTGCGGGCACCAAGAGGAGAGAGG